CGCTCTGTGGAAAGCAGAGCAGGGAGCCAGGCACTGGGGGCTCTGAGCAAGAAGGAGGCTTACTCCTTATGGCCCTTAGAGAAGTGTGCTGCTTTCTCTACAAGCCAAGTGACAGAGGCCTCCCTGGACATAAAGATCTTTAGGTTTACTCCAAGGTCTGTTTATCTGTTTTTCACTGAAGGCACAGAGAGCAAGGACTGATCCTTGGATTCCCAACTCTTGTAGGTTAGGCAGAAATACAGGTGTATCGGCACCTCAAAAACATCACACACACCCCTTTTCAGTTGTGAGTACAGTATGGAGAATAGAAAAGCATCTCTGGTGGGGTAGAAAGGGATGTATTAAAAGAAATTGTTGCTGTCAGGGAAGCCTTCGACTCAAAATTGGGATTATTCATCAGCTGAGGCTGGAGATGACAGAATGATCAGCCGCAGAAGGCAGAGACTTTACTCATCATGTCTGAAAAAAATTGAAAACTGACACACTGGATTTGGGAGAAACTATCCAGTCTGTTGTGTGAGCTTTAGCAGACGGAGTTGTACCCTGCTACTCCTTATTGGACTTCCCTGCAGGTTAGGTGATATATTTCTATTTTATATAAAGGGACTGAGAAAAGTGAAGTGAGAAATCCACCAATCTGTACAGGGCTGAATAGGTTCTGCCTTATTTAGGGATAATACCGAAGTTTCGACGTTGCAAAATCTTTTATAAAAAACTTTATTTTAACGTGTTGGGAAAAAAGTTGAACTCCATTTTAATGAGGGAGGTATGCAGTAGAAGGAGCTCTGTTCTTTTAAAAGCAACATACATGTCTTACCTTGAACTGATTGCATTTGTCTGTGTGTTATGTCTGTGTTTTTCTTTAGGAGTTGCTGCAATCGGTGGTGCTTTTACTGAACAAATTCTTCAGGATATGGCTGCTTTAAACAAACGCCCTATTATTTTTGCTCTCAGCAATCCTACCAGCAAAGCAGAATGCACTGCTGAGCAGTGCTACAAATATACAGAGGTAACCAAAGAGTAACGTCTCTCCAGTGTACGTAGTGAAAAGTAAATCGGAGATTAAATTTAGCATGGGAGGAAGGCAGAGGGTGGACTAGCAAGTACTAATTATGTCTCTGTCTGTAGGTAAAATGACTTAAATTAAGTAACAGGTTTTTCAGATTTTATCAAGACAATTTCACTGAAGTCGATACATGCTCGCACCCTCATAAAAACATTTAATATCTTTTACTCGTGTCAGGCACCAGTCACAGTCTTTATTATAGCCAAAGCATCAGTAACCGTCAGTCATTCAAGCCTTATGCTTGTTTTTGAACTGCACCACGTTGCATAATGTATACACACAGTGGTATGCTTTTAATTTGAGATTTTATAAAATATACTCTTTAGGCTGAGAAAATACTTCAGTACAGAAAACAGAATCTTTAAAGTAATTCCTTATTAAGAACTGGGGTAATTGACTCCTTTTACAAAGATTTCTGTTATGGAAACATAGGTGAATATTAAGAGAGCTGTGCTTGCTTATTTATTATTGTATTATAGAAGTGCTAATAAACACATTATCCTGTAATTCCGTCTAGAATTTGAAATGTATGAGTAGTTGACTGTATGTGTCATAGTGAATGGTGTTTGGATTTCTTGTCAAATACAGGGCAGTCAGAATGACAGTTTCACAGTGTTAAAAGCCAATTTTAGCATGCCTGTTCCCCGCTGCACAGTACACAATTACAGCGCAATGCGAGAGCCAGGGACACGGCCTGCATGAAGTGTTGGTTATAGTGAGCAACGACATCTGGTAGGCCGAGCAAAATACACACTGAAGTATTTGATCTGTCACCAGAACGTATAATAAGCCAGCCATGATAATGCTGAATGACACCAAACCAAACAGAATGTTCTTCTAAAGGGCAGAACAGCAACAGTGGCGTATTTTAAAATGCACGTTTCCAGTTCTCTGAAATAGGCATAGATATTTCTGATACAAAGTGCCTCTGAAGTATTTAACAGTGACATTTATCACTTCAGCAGTGCTAGCATAAATATAGGCTGGCTTTTCTTCCCCGCCTAAATTTACTGCTTAAATTCAAGGGTGCTCCCTCCCCAGCAAGGCCAGAGCCAGGGGCCTTTGGGCTGCGGACGCAGACCCTGTGCAATGTCACTCCCCTCATTAGTCCAAAACTGCATTGCCTGCTGTAGAAATTACTTCTCTCTCCCTGTGTATCAGGAACGATCTGGGGAGAACCTGGATAGTAGTGCTGCAGGTGAGTCACCTCTGAGGTGCCTCTTCTGCCACCCTTGAACGGCACTCGACGGTGCCAGCATCTGCCCCCCTCGGGGTGTTCCTCATCCCAGGGCGACAGTAAGACTCCGTCAGACTTGCAGCTCCCTCCCAGCCCATCTCTGGGCACTCCAGTGGTGTCACATCTCTGACGGTGCACGCTACTGAATGACACCAGGCCCAAGACTCCTCTGAGCCGATGTTAAGCTGGTAGCAACGTGAGCCCTGTCGCCACGCCTGGGCCACCCCACAGGCTTCCGTTCCTCCCCACAGCTGCCTGATGTGCACTGTGTGCCAGCGCCTGCGTCTGGGGTCCTGGGAAGAGATTCAGAGGTCCCAAGTGGGGACTCAACATAAAGTGGGTTGGAGCCAGTTCTCTTGCCCTCTGACAGCTGTGTGCCAGCGCCTGCGTTTGGGGTCCTGGGAAGAGATTCAGAGGTCCCGAGTGAACGCAACATAAAATGGGTTGGAGCCAGTTCTCTTGCCCTCTGACAAGTGATACGGCGTAACTCGTATCTGCACAGCTAAATTCTCTAATCCCCCAGAACAGGCTGGCTCTTCTGTACTGCCTGCTGGGACCACTCTGTGCATGGTGCCTGCGTCCTGGTGGCAACGGTGCTACTTGGCACTACCCAAAAACCTGCTGGGAAACATCCTAGTGGTTTATCAGTATTGGGTGATCTCACGCCAGCGCCTGAGGTGGTGCCCTCACCCTGCTTAGTGTATTACAATGAGGAGAGCCACAAGGTCCCAGAAGATGAGGTCTCATCACCAACTTGTGCTATAGGTTGCACCATGGGATGACGTCCCTGGGACAGAGCTTGCACGTCTGTCATTCTATTGAGCTGTGGAGTGGGTGCAGGGCCCTGAGGAGGGGAGATTGGGAGGAGCAGAGAGCTCTGCCTGTCCCACAGCTCCTCAGAAATTGCCACATCCCAATGTGCAACATTTGGTGGCCTTAGTGTAATTTTTGTGGATGATTTGCTGCTGGGAAAAAATCCAGCAGCATCACCCGTTGTTACCATGACAGTATTGTCCGTGTTGAGTTTTACAGCTCCAGGCGTATGCCTTCTTCCCAGGTGCCCTTCTTCCAGCATGGACGCACAAAGTGAATAACGAGTGCTGGCTTTCACTTTCCCCTCCTCTAAATTGTGCTGATAGCTCTTATCTGAATAAGGCAGCGGTTACTCTCTGACATCAGACAGTCACAGAGCAGAGAACTGCCAGTGATCTCTAGGATCAGCATCCTGCTTCTCTTGAGACATACTCAGTTAAGCAGTTCCAATACCCTCCCAGAAGAGATATTAAATAGATGTAACCCAGCTTCCACAGTGGTGGGTATTTAAAGGGATGTGTGAAATACTCCAACAGCATCCTCGCAAATAACGTGCTTTCTTTGGCTTTCTTGTTACAATTTAGGGACGTGGCATTTTTGCCAGTGGAAGCCCTTTTGATCCTGTCACTCTTCCAAGCGGACAAACTCTCTATCCTGGACAGGGTAACAATTCCTATGTGTTCCCGGGAGTTGCCCTTGGTGTTATTTCGTGTGGACTGAAACATATTGGCGAGGACGTGTTCCTCACAACTGCTGAGGTATTGTATCAAAAATTCCTTAATTTATTAACTTGGGAGTAACGAACAATTAAACAGAAAGAGTTAAAACATTATCTTTTAAATTGGAAAAAGAGTGCTTTCTGTGTAAAGTTTTTATGTGCAAGGTGTGTTGATTTTTATAAATTCTATTTGAACAAGTATTTCTAAAAAGTTAATCCTCGGTCCAAAGGTCGTCTGACATAAACTTCACCTTCTGTGGGCAAGGAAAAAATAAAAAAGAGTAGTGTGTTGTCACAGGTGAATGCGCATATGTACAGTTTGCATACACGTAGGTTTGATTTTAGATTGAAAGGAACTGTATTTTGATATTGGTGACTTTGGGGTGACTTTTGCAGGTGTTTTACTTGCTAAAATTATTTTCATTTCTTTTAGCTTTTTAGCTTCTTGCAATTTTTGAGTAGACCTGTTGGCATCATTTTTTGTGGACCTCCCTTGTCAAGAGCAGGTGAAAGTGCTCCATTGCCTTGACACAATTGCTGTGTTATTCTTCCCATTTTCTTTCTTTTCGTTTTCTGCATTGGTTCTTTTTTTTTCTTCAGGCAGTTTTTTGATCTTTGTTCTGACATTGTCCAACATACGTTCTCTCCTCCTTTATCTCCACTCGGTGGGCAAGAGATGACCAGAGAGCAAACACTTTTGGTTCTAGGAGCCATTCACCACCTACTTCCAGTGATTGTTCAAAATCTGACATCCACTGTCTTACAGCAGGACATCATAAATGCACAGGACTGTATCTTCAACACGTGTCAGAGAAGAATCTGGCCTTTATTATTGTAGAATCTCTTAATCAAACAAAATAAGTTACCAGCAGTGGTTGAAATCAAATGCTTAACATGGCGGGGGGGGGGGGGGTTTTAAATTTTTTGTTTACAGAACAGTAAGTCAGTCTTTCTGTCGCTGTTTCTCACTTAAGAAAATTGTAACTTTCTGGGCTTTTCTGGGTCCAGCATCTTTGCTCCACATCCACTGTAGTGTTACAGCACCCTTAGCACTCCTTCCTTAGCTGACCCTTTCCATCTCACTCCCTTCCTGCCCTGTCCTGGAGTTCCTGTCTTCTCCATTGCCTCTGTTGGTTCTGCTCTTGGCTGGCACCAAGGGCAACGTAATGAGCCTCACAGGACTCCGCTTCCTTCTACTGAGAGATGCTCCAGCTCCTGGCTGTGCTGCTCCCGGGAATGTGCTTCCAAGCTCATCCTGCTCAGAGGGCGCCCAGGCTCAGTACAGACAGTGATGAGCGAGCCCTAAGCAGTGCATGATGGTCTGACCATGTCCGTGCAGAGTCATTAAAAACCTGATGCTTTGGGGGTTTTTTAAAGGGTATGGAAATCAGGAAGGCGGCTAGCCTCAGTTCACCAAGTTAACTCTAATTAACCGAGATGCACTCCAGTGGCAATTTCTCCCCAGTCTAGGTCCTATAAATTACATTCCACAGAATTTCATGAAAGTGCAGCCTCCTAATCTTTGAAGAAGCTGTGTACGCTTGGAAATACATGGGTAGCATAGGTAGCACACAGCGGAAACCTCAAAACAATGCAATTAGCAACTATTATGGAACAATTAAAAAAAAAAAAAGTTGCCCCAATTAGCAGAAGTGAGAATGCCTGACTCAACTCTTGCAGCTTCTCTAAGGATTCTTGCTCCTTGTCCTCTTCATGGATTAAAGGGGAAAAAAAGTGCCCTTTGCTATCACTCGGAGGCAACTGACAGGCAACGTGACCCTGTGACTGGCAGTATGTGGTATGAAGCTTTCTGAAAGGGTGGGCACTTGCACGCTGCCCTTGCTGGATTTCTGAAGGCTGTTTTTAAGGTCCATACTGTGGCATCTTTAAAAAAGCTTGCCAGTAGCTTGCCCTCTGTAAAAAGATATTCACAATTTCCCTCTTTAAAATTAGTCAAAAGCCCAGACTGTCTCCACTGGCTTTAACCATCTTAGGAGGGCAATGATCCATCTCGTAAGTCTTTGGATAATTATATCCTCCCTTTAAATCCTTCCCTGTAATTTCAGTTGGATACAGTGATCCTCACTTGCTGGTCTAAACTGCTGTGTTAAACAGTTGTCTTGTTTCATTCTAGAAGTTGCTTCATTTTGGTTTGGGTGAAATGGTTCCTATATATAGAGTGCTGATGGGTGGAAGGTGACACGTGTGGATTGAACGATGTTTCAAGTGGCAGTCGACTAAGTCAGAAAAAAAATCTGTTCTGAACAAAGAAACGTAACAGGGAAGTAATCAGAAACTGCGAGGAAGCTTTTAACTTCTGTCTTGAGGTAGAGGTTCTGTTCTGACTCCTGTTGGTAAAGGTTTTGCTACGTAATTGCCATCGTCTAGTAAAATCCCTAGAAAAGTTTGACATGTAAAAATGTCTAATTTTTTCTTGCATAAAAAGTCTCTGTTGGCAGCAAGATCAATGGATAGCTACTCGCCTTATGGCCAGAGCTAAGAGCAGTCCCATCTGCTCTCCCAGTGAGACGCAGCGTGTGACTGGGGCTTGGGTGAGCTGCAGCCAGTTACTGAGCAAGGCGGCAACTGGTGGGTTTCAGAGGAGCCTTTGCCAGAAGAGTTGTCAGGGGTGTGAGGGCTGCGTAGGCCCTTGGCTGAAATTACAGTACAAAGCAAAGACAAAAGTGCTTTTTGTTTTGTTTTCTTGGCTTTTTTTAGTGGAAGGATAAAATCAAAATAGTTTCATACGGGTTTTAGAACAGTGGTTAGGATTCTCCATTTTAAATGGAAGCACCCAAGGTGCTGCAAAATTTAAAGCACCAAACCCGTGCGTTTTAGACAAAGGGACCTTCTCAGACTGTAAACTTTTCAGCTTACCTGAAAAAAGCATAAAAAATAAGCAGCCCAGGCTGCATGCCTGCACCTCCTGTCTTCTTGCTTTGCCACCTCTCCAATTAAATCTGATACAAGTCACAAACAGCTTATTGTAACTACAACAAATTCTGCTTTCAGTGTTCTTTTCTTCCTGCCAAGTAAAACAGAATGTAACTTTGATTTTGGGCGATAAATCTAGGGTACGGTAAGCTGTAGTACCTCTTAATTGCAGGCAATTGCTCTGTGATGACAAGGGACATTACCTATTCTTCTAAGTCCCACCAAACACTAGAAAAGGGACAGAGAATTAGGAACTAATGAAATATTCTTGGCACATGTGACCTACAGTTAAGTTACTTCAGAAATAATCCTATTAAATCCGTTCATTATAGAGACTATGTCCCCCAAAAGCCAAGATGCCCTTACTTGCTTTGTGCCATTTGTCCTGTCTTGGCTACCTTTCATTTAGGTACTGCAGTTAGATAAATTCTGTATTAAAAACCTGAATTAATTAAAAATTTAAAACATGAAAATTGCAATACTGGGTTGGATCTAAGATCCAAACAGCTCAGTATCTTCCTGGGAAAGAAATCAGTAGCAGGAGCTGAGGAAAAGAGGATAAATACGGGGAAAACAGAAAGTGATCCTTCTGCTGAAGTGGCTTCTCAGCTTCTGGCAGCCTGTGCTATATCCTTCCTGCGCTGGAAGTTTTACCCCTGTGTGGACTTCCCTTCCATAAGTGAGCCCAGCGGCCTTTTAAACATGCTTATACATTTGAACATCTTTTGGCAATTAGTGTCAGAAGTTAATTATGAGTTCTGTGGAAAAAAGAAACTCTCCTCTTATGATTTCCTGCTGTCTGACGATTTGGGTTCCCTACAGTGCCATGAGAAGCGTTCACCTACAGTTGTCTTGCGTATTTTCTGTCAGTCTTCTCTTTTTTTTCCCCCAAGTCTATTTTATTATTTTTTGTCTCCTTGCACAAAAAAAAACCCAAACCTTTTCATCATCCTTGTTGTTCTTTATACCACTCCTGATTCTGCCTTTCTTGTTTGAAGTAGGTGGAGGAAAACTGCACGCTGCTCAAAGCGGTGTTACATTGGGGGTTTATACATTGGTATAATTGCAGTTTCTGTGTTGCCTGTTATTTCCTTAATAATTCCAAATGTTGATGCATCATTTTTTTCCTCTGCCACTGAACTGATGTTCTCAAAGAGCGTTCTTCAGAGGCCACATGAAGGAGGTGTCATTCTCTTGAAAATGCTTGTTTCTGTGTTTTTGCACAGGTTTTAATGCTATTGCAGGGGTACGTCAGAAGGAATAGCACGGCATCTATATAGTTAAGCTTGCTACCTTTCCCTTGAGCACGCCCAGAGGTTTTGTGACTTGCTTTCTATCAACTCCACCACAGAACAGAAGCATTCTACTCCTGAAGCTTTTATTTTTTTTTTTCAGTGATGCATTACACTAACAGCTACTTGCTGCTGATTTCTTCAGATTTCATCTTTCCTGTAGAGCCTCGTTAAACTGTTAACAACAGAAATCTCATGATGTGAGCTCCTCTTTACATGTGCAGATGCACACCTTGTTTTATCGAAGGGCTGCGTATAATTTTTAAATTACCCAGTTGCTATTATGGAAAGGAAAATCTAGATTTTACATTGTCTAGCTCCCTCTAGTGGGTTTTTATCTCTGCTGTATTTCTCAATATCAGATTAAAATGTAAAGAAATAATTTTCCTTTACTCATTATATTGAACAAGAGTATAATCGCTTGCTGCTCTTGTTAGCATTTCCACTCCAAATGGAAAAAGGTACCACGCTGCACCTACCAGCGTGCTGGGTAGACTGCAGAAGAGAACATTGTTTCTCTTTGAGAGCGCTGTTACTAAGCGTTTGCTCTTTTTTTTTGTCTGAGTGAGGAAAGGGCATAACTCCCTACATTTCTAGCTCTTGTGTAGCTGCTCCTGATGATAAGGCTGGTTGTAAAAAACACTGCCTCGGTGGATCAAGCAGTGTCTGCGTGACTTGCCAAAGCGGAACCATTTCTTTGCTTAAGACTAGGTGACTGTAATAAAGCTACGGGTGCATCTGCGTTCCAAGTTAAACGTGTCTGCTTTATTTCTAGGTAATAGCTGAGCAAGTTTCAGAGGAGAATTTACAGGAGGGTCGTCTGTACCCTCCCTTAGTCACTATTCAGCAAGTGTCGCTGAAAATTGCTGTGAGGGTAAGTCATTTCAGTCTTTTGTGGCTTCTTTTCTTCCCGCGCTCTCTGCATAATTGATCATTCGATTCGATCCACGCGCACACCTTCACACAAGTTGAAGTTGGTTTACACCGATCAATCTTGGACAAGCAGCAGTTTCAAAATCAAATATAAATTCATAGATGTAAATGTAATCCAAATACAAGAAGGAAAGATGGGAAACTATAGCAAGTGTTTCTGTCTGTAGAGCCCAAACTGTGCTGTCCACCAGTTCGGAGCAGGTCCCCGGGCTTACAGTCACGTGAGCGGCACAGCCGAAGGCTTTTGGCCCTTCGTGATTATCAGTTGCCTGTCAAGAGAGTAAATGTCACCCTATGTCCAGGCACGATTCCCTTTTGTTCCCATCCTTGCTCTGGCCTGTCAAAATAACTAACTACAGAGGATGCTTTTTGTGTGTGGCTCAGGTTTGGGCCAGGGTCGTTCAGTTGGTTGGTTTTTATGGGCAAATACGGAGCTCATGCAGATCAGAAACTGACCTAAACCCACCGTTTCCTAGTAAATTTGGTTGCCTGGAGAGGAGAGGAGGCAGCTTTCAAATAATGTATTTACCCCAGTTACTCCCTCGTTCTGTTTTTCAAGTTGTTTTTTTTTTTTTTTTAGTATTTTAGGAGGTTATTTTGCTGGTCTTCTGTGACCTTTTTTGCTGCAATGATTGTTTTCTCTCTTGGTCACCTTACTGTGAATAATTCTACTTACTGCATATTCTTTTGAAAGAATAACATGGAGTCCTTGTGCATGAAACTGATCCCCTAGCTTCACGAATTCTGTATATTTAAAAGAAAAACACATCCCTCACACAGTTCGTGTCTTCTTAGGCAACTAATAACTCTGTTCTCTAGATGTCAAAATGTTACCTAGATGCCTCAGGCGAAATCAAACTGTGTGTCTGTTTGGCAGAAACATAGTGATAGAAATTCCTCCTCTACTTGTGTGTGTTGTATAAAATACAGAAAGGGAAAATGTCACCAAATTCTTCTCTCTGCCTGATCTCTGTGGAAACTTTATTCCTGCAAATACCTGCTCAGGCTCGTACAGCCCAAGAGGTTTGGCGATGGCCTCTCCCTTTTCCAGGGGAGGAACACTGTCACAGTTTTTTGGAAGGGGGTATACATTCAGACGTCATTCATCTGTGACAATTATGCGCACAGACCTGAGGATGGACTCTTATGTGAACACCCGATGTGCTTCTCAGTCAAATCAGGTTGGGCTTCAGGTTAGCCCTAGAAAGGGAGTCTAAATACAGTAACTTGGGGTCTCAGCTTCTCGCCAAGCTAAAACATTTACGTTTTAAAGGGAGAGCTCAGGCGAGCAGGAAGGAGACCCTCTCGCTGTTATTCAAAGTAGGAGCATTTGTCTGTTTGCCAAATACAGTTTGAGGCAGGTCTTCAAACAAAGATCGCTGCGGCGTAAAACCAGTCCGTCACACTTCTTTTGTTTCATAAATGAATGTCGAGTCAAATGATACGTATTTCTCAAGTGGGTGTTCTTCAGACATGAGAGGTTACTTTGATGTGTTGAGTGGGCTCCAACACCTTCTAAACTTCATTTTTCTTGCAGCTATACTTGTGATGCAGAATTGATTCGCTTAGGTAAGGGCTGGGCGAGGGTAATGCAAGCAAACGTTTCTATTTCCCCCAACCATCCCCAGAATTAAACCCAAGCACTGTGTAGGACTAATTTTTTAACATGAGTTGACCTTTAAGAAATATATTATGAAACTATGGCAAATAATAAACTTCTCTGCTATGCAGGGGGCATGAAAGCTTTAAACAAAACACACTTTTCTTACAGTGATTTGGAGATGTAAAGCAGGGTAACCTGATGATGAAAGAGAAATAATTGTATCTCAGTGCCTGGGGTTTGTGTAGGAATATTTTATCCACCACTGCCCAATGAAAGCTCAGGTATTACCAGACGAGGAGGAGGAGCACTGTATTGCAGCAAAGACACGTAATCCTGTTCAACAGTAGCATGAGTCAGCTCGCTTGAATGCAAACATCATCCTGCTGCTCATCTTACCGGCTGTAGAGTAGCCCAGATCCAGTGTGAGTACAGGTGACTGTCAGCACCGGACAGGATGAAGCCTTACCTTGATTTGAACTAAAACCTACTTTTAAATCCTGTTAAAGGTACTCAAATAATTAGGATTTTAATGCATCTTTCTAGATCGCAGAAGAAGCCTATAGGAATAACACTGCCTCCACCTATCCTCAGCCCAAGGACCTAGAAGCCTTCATCCGCTCTCAGGTTTACAGCACCGATTACAGCAGCTTTGCAGCTGACTCCTATACCTGGCCTGAAGAAGCCATGAAAGTGAAACTGTAAATATTTAATGAAGAATGAACAAACTAGCAGCACTTAAAAAGCATTAAAATATTCAGAATATTTCTGCCTAGGAAGCGCAAGAACAGCTAATTTTTTAAGATGCAGAAAAATTTTTCTAAATTGTAATATTTGGTTAGAAATGCCAATCAAGAAACTGTATTAATTATACATCAGAAAATAAAAATTAATCTGAGAAATATATTTGTGTTGTTTGGTTATTTTGATTCTTATTTTGAGAGATCCTACGCTATGGTTGTTATTGAACTAAGTGGTGGTTGTATTGTGAGAGTTCTGTCACAGGTGTCAATGAGAACTTCAGCAGACAAATGGTACCACGGAGAATTAAGAAACGCATACAATGACTGTTTATTCCATTTCAGGTCACACTGTAATTTCCATAAATTTTCAAGCTATTATTTTTAAAAAAAAACCCAAAACTTAAAACAACAGCAAGTTAGAATATTTTCCTGCAAATAAAAGCCTTATTGGTCACTCCTGTGTGGAGTAATGAAAATTTTCTGACAAGAACTGAACCTGCAGAACCTTTTGTTCCATCTAACTAGAATATTTTCACATTACTTGGCTAAGCTAAAGTCCTGTAAATGGTCAAAGATTTCATTGATTCATTCATTCGTCCCTATCAGGACCAAGATAACTGCTGTCCTGATAGGCTGCAATTGTCTGGCCTAAAGTTCATGGGAGTGCTTGGACTCCATGGTCTTGACAAAACCACAGTATCCAAATGTTGTGAACATGCGTCTTTTTGACTAATGATTTTCTTACAAACATCAGTTACCTGGCTAGTAGTGGGTTTTTATTAAACCTAATGAATTCCTGTAGCGTGTGAGACCAAGGTGTTTTTAAACACACATAATATGTGATCAAGTATTATTCTTTGTAACAAACTCCCAAATCACCCAGCTGAGGTCTGCTAAAGGAATAATTATTATGGGGAAGAGAGTCCCTCATTATGGGAGGAGCAAACACATTTTATTAATTCTTTGGTATTTACTGATTATTTCTGTCACTTACTACTGTTTGAATGATCTGGTTAGCTCAATTTCTTCAGTATGGTCTTTAAAATAGTTTTTACACCTTCATTGATAATTCAGCATGCTGAATATGTTAATCTACAGATGAATTTCAACTAAAGATATATCCTTACTTTATTTTAACTTTTCTTACCTGCCAACCAGTTATCAAAAGTGATTCCTGGCAGTGACCCCTGTTCTTCTACAAAAAGATGATACCCTCTGCAAACCCCACTGGAAGCATTGAGGGACACTACTCCTGACCTGCATTATTCTGAATTCATAATAAGCATTTCCAGAAATAAAGGTCATGAGTCTGTGGGTTTCCTTAGAGGATACACGATTGGATCGTACTATCAGTGGTTTCCTCCTTCAGAAAAAATGAACAAAGCAAGCTCGCGCTTGGAATAAAGCCCTAAGCAGCTCTAACTCTGAGTTGTTTGACCACCCTGCGCCAGGCACACCCACCCTGATGAACGTCAAAACTTCCTGACCTCTGAAAGGAAAGAGTTCAAACGTGAAGCTGAGGTTTGGGGGATGGTGGTCAGGGATAGGTAAGGCAAGGCCCGTGGTTGACAGACAAGGCCCTCAGCCAATGAAAAGTCTTGGTCAAGAGAAGTTTCTAGACTGCTGACCATGTATGACCACAGATCAGGCTCGACTAGGGTATAAATGGAACCTGCCAGAGGGCGAATGGAGTCAGTCCTCCTCGGGGCAGCGGGTCTGCAGTTGGGGACTGTCCCCTTGGGTCAAGACGTCGCCCAAGGGAACTCCTCTGAAAGCTGAGCGCCTTGTCTTTTAGGTGAGTGATACACGCATTTTGGGTCACCATCGCTAGAATTTAAGCTTAAGAAAGCTGTGTAGTATTAGTTCTGTTAAGCAGCCATCCAAATCTGGAGTTTACTAATGTTTGTTGGAGAGCTAAACAATTTCAATTAGAATAAATCTCATTTTTTGAGTACCTGCCTCATCTATTTTGAGAGACTCCATGGCACGTCCTCCTGCACAGACCTTCTGACCTACACCAGTGCTGCCTTTCCTGTTTCCTTCTGGTTGAAATCTCATGGATAAGACTCATTTCTAAACCGGTTTGTTTTGCTACTTTAAAGGAAAAAGTTCATAATTTGGCAACTTCCCAACAGGACTGAATACAAATTGGTTTGTTGTTTTTGAGTCATGATCATGTGGAATCTGTGCTCATACATCAATGTTCTAAAAAAAAACCCCAAAGAATTATTAGTTGTTATAGAATTACCACTCCAAGAACAATGTAACATACTTTCTGTACAGTTCTGGAAACAAAGCGTACTTGAACACTTTTTCTGCTGTCGTGCTATAGAGATTATCTCTGCAAAGCCTAGAACTAACCTTGTTTGTCCAGCCCCTCAGCTCTGTCACAGCTGCAGATCACAGGTCCTGAGTTCACAAGGAGGAGAGGCACTTTCTCCCTCATTGCATCATGGCACCCTGTAAACACCTTTTGCCTTGCTGTGCTTTCGGCCAGCAGTATGATCATACAAACAATATATTTACCGCAGCGAAGGAACGCACGTTAATAATCATTCTGAACAACCAGAAATACTGCTGTCCTCTGTATTGCGATGTATTGCTGTTATGGGAAAGGTATTGGAACACTTCCTCGTGTTTTATTTGAAATAAAGTATTATCTGTTATTTTTGTAGTCGTCAGCAGAGTGTACTGAAACGCAGTCTGAGTCTTCAAACAGCTGCTGACAAAATGGCCTGGCCTGTAACAGCCGAACCTCTACAGCCCAACAGTCGGTCTGCTTTTACTGCTCGGTATCGGTTTTCACATCCTGGTGCTCAGTGACAAAGCGGAAGGCGGTAAGCTGGTCGTTCTTTAACGCACAGCTACTGGGCACTTTTCAGTAGCATGCTTCACCTACATATTATATTGATGACATTTAAATTATGATAATCCATTCTAAATTGGAAGACTGAGCTGCAAGTCACTATCTAAATACACGGTCAGCACACTAAGCACTGCCTAATGACCCCCATTAATATCCTTTCCTGTGCAAGCTGCTGGAAAATTGTCTCTCAGTACTGACTTGTCATAGAAAATATTGGTAAAGTTATATGTTTTTTTCTAAAATATATATATATATATAGTTTTTTTCATTTTTCTATATTTTACATGTATTTCCTTATGTAACGTAGGGGAAAAACAGAGAAAACACTAAACTTTGTCTCATCTGACACATTTTCATTTCCAAGGTGCTTGGCCTAACAACGTAAATATAAAACGCCATGAGTTGAGCAGCTAAAAAAACCAACTATTAACGTAACCAGACCCTACTGAGATGACAGGAAGAGGATTGTGAAAATGGTGGTACCAGCAATATAATTGTACAGGTACAACCCAAAGCACACAACGGATGGGGTGATGTGGGCTTCTTTCTCCTTTCCCCCACCCTTTATTTAAAAGCAAAACTTGGTCCTGCAGTTGGACACAAGCCTCTGCATTTCACGGGTTAGTTGACTGAAGGGAGAGCAGCCGCTTTGTGGAGCAGTAGAAGACATGGCATGCACTAACTCATCAGTGTGGCTGTGAGATTTCCTTGAGCTGGGTGTGCTGTTGTACTGGAAACCACATCAGTCTGTGCCTGCAGTCACTTTGGTGTCCCACAGCTGTACGTAGAAATGAACCACAGGTCTGCACAGCAGCTTGGTAACATACAGCACAGTGTCGATGAGGAGACAGAAGCCTGTAATTCAGGACACTGCAGAGTGTATGTTTATGTCCTTGCGAGCACTCTGAGGCATGACTCACAGTGACAAATGCCAGTTTTAGGGTCTCAAAAAATAGGTAAACACTTCGGAAAAAATTCAGAACAGAAGCTGATTAACTACTTGAACCATTCTTCTTGGATGTTAAACAGTTTCCCTTTTCACAGCAACTATAAGGCACAATACTTCAATGGTACCATCATCTCTTGCTGTTTAAAATCAGAACTCCCTGCACAGTTTCTCTTATTTGTCTGAAAGTTTGCCTTCAACACCAAATAAAATCTGAAAAATATGTCCACTTTGATGTTGCTTCAGGAATTCTAGGAACTGGCCAAGATCCATGTGATAGTCATTCCTCAGGCCATAATCACCATGTGCCTGAAACTGTAGGTCTTCAAAAGTATGAAAGAGACGAACATTATCGATGCTTCCCTCCGTTTCTATATTCTCCACGTGCTTGCATGAAATATGCTTCCAGTTGGGATACCTAATAACACGCCAGAACTCTTCACAGTTTTCTCGGAGTCCCTCCACACAGATGACACCAGGTTTCCCTGTGAGACAGAAGCCAGTCAGGTTTAACTTCTTTGCACAGTCAAAAATCTTTTTCCTCAGTTCCTGCCTGTATATATGATGGCTGTAGATCCACATGCGATGCAGTGTTTCTTTAACTACGACTTCTTCCGAAGCACTTTCAGAAGAGATCTTACTGCTTTCCAGGTAAGGCAAGCTGTTGTCTTTCACCCACAGCACAGCTTCATATACACACAGATCACCTGAATCCAGAGAGCTGATGTGAGAAGCGAGACGAGTGTTGAGCTGCAGCTGTTGCTGTCTGTGCAGCGCATTTGATCTTGCAAAAAGCTGAGGAGCTACGTGAGGATACGTATGAGGCAGCAGTACCTGCAATTCCACTTTTACCTAAAAAAACACACACAAAACAATTCTGCAGCTACTGAAAGACACACTAGATTCTTCTTCCCTGCTAAAGGCAGATTATGAGGAGATGTAATTAAGATTGCCACTAAGACTGGAAGATTCCTGAAGACTGGAATTGGTTCCGCTTTCCTTTTGCCCCCCTATGCCATTCTTTTGTCTACTCCTTTTCCTTTGTTGCACCATGCTGTCACTTCCCCAATACATCTAATGTTATCAATTATGTTATCAATACTGCTGCTCCCTCCTGCTGTTCACAGAACTAACGCTGAGTCTTGAAAGAAGTTACCCTCTAGGGAGCTTTCTAGTGCCTGTTCTCAGTGCGTGCTCAGTGTTGCTACAGCGATAAACCACAAATCTGTCAGTCAAGAGGCAAGTGGCTTTTGAGAATCTTGTCCTTTACCAAATGCACAGCTGATCAATGAACTCAGCCCAGCTTCTGGATCTATCCCAGAAAAACAAGGCCAAGAGTTTATGATTGTACATATTGTATATAGAGGCACATGGCAGGGGGGGTTGGAACCAGATGATCTTTAAGGTCCCTTCTGACCCAAACCATTCTATGATTCCATACATTATTATTATGTTAAGCAAGTATTCATCCTAACAGAGGAAGCATTCTTGGGATTATAGGAGATAAAAAGATTTAGATGCATTTTAGGCCAGGGAAACCTCTAGGTTATCTTGCCTGATCTCCTACAAACCACGGGCTGTTGAATTTCTCTTGATTATTCCTACAGTGTCTTAAAATGGAGAACCTCATGTTCTTTGGAAACTGAACCCTTCCTCTGGTCCAAGAGCAGGAGAGGATTCATGTGTCCTCGGTGCTTGAGGCTCCTGTATACCATTAGGGGACTTTTACTACAGTACGCAATCATATGATAAGGCCTGCAGAGAGAAGTGAATCGTGAAACAACTAATTATCTTTCCAATTTCCTTGACAGTCTGCCACAGGAAAAAAAAAAAAAATTCCTGCACAAGCTGTCCTTACAGTTTGTAAAACTTCTCTCTGAAGGCTGGTGAAACAGTGCATTTTAGAAAGCTACCTAAGCTTGTACCCACGTTTCCAAATAATCATGAGGCCACCTCGCTACCCAGTAAATTGTTCTAATGTTTAATTACCCTTATTCTGAGGAAAATGGCTTCTAGGTTGAGTTTGTCTGTTCTCGACTTCCAGTCATTGCATCATTATGCACTCAGACCTACGTTCTCTATGCCAGTGTTTACATCACTTAGTCATCAAATGTAACCTTTTCTTCAATCGGATGAACTATTGGAACTCCTTATGCTGTTAGTTTTGTTTCCCCGTTCATAGGCTGGGTTTGGTTTAGTGGTTTTGTGACTCTTCTCAATAATACTCTGCTGTTTGGGGCTATTTTTACCTTATCGTATTTCAAATACAGATTAATGAATGTTAGTACACGTGGCAAGGGGTGGACAAGAGAAATAATAGGGTGATTTTGCTAGAATAACATAAAGTCCAATATATGTATTCCCATACAGGGAGCGCTGCCATTTTAACACACAACTCTTTGTAAACCAAACTAACAACTCTCATACAAGTACAACCCTAGCTAAGCTCTTGAGAATGCCGTGTGTGCCACTGATGTCGGTTGTCCATTCCTACCAGTGATTCCATTCGCCTTTCTTGCCCAAATCAAGGCTCAAATAAATAATGAAGAACAAGAGGTTTTGTTACTCTTGACTTTTGAAATAGCAAGCAGAAATTAGGGGCGGAGGGGGAGGTAGTTTCCCCCCTTTCTTCCAGTGCAGAGTTTTTAAGTGCTGCGCTAGGAGTAAAGAAAACACCACACACGAACACATCTGTGGAATTTCTCACCTTTGCCTCCCCTACATCAATAGCGATTGAAAATTCAAGCTGTGGGGGCAGCACTCCATCAGTGTTTCTCAGGTAGCGCTGCACGCTGGGCACAGCGTCCTCATCCAGATTTATTTCACCTTTTCCGGGAAACATTGAAAGGAGCATTTCCACTTCCACCAGCTGGAGCTCCAGGCATTCTTTCACGGTGACAGCCATCGCACTGCCCTCCACACACACCTGGAACAAGAGGCCTGGAGTCAAACCCTGCGGTTTAACACCCAGCGAGGTTTAGCACGGCCAAGCCAGAGAAGGAAACGGGA